CCGCCGGCCACGCCGTTCTCAAGCCCGCCCGCCTCCGGTCACTCAAGCCCGCCGTGTGTTTCGTTGTGAAATCGAAACTACTTTGTTTGGCCTTCCAAAAGAGGACATAACTAGAAATCAGTGGTTAAGTTGTATTTACAACACTGTTCCAGAACAGTTCAACCCAAATATTCAGATGTGTGCAGCACATGGACTGTTTCCTGATCCTGGAAGAGTAGACTACAATGCCGGCAGTTCTGACTCACAGTAATGTTTTTGTCTCTTCACTCCGGCCGGGACACGGCATCACAATATGGTAAGGGGCGTAACATTTCCGTCACACGCTTGAGGTATTCGGCTAATCACAACGCACTGGATAGCTGGCCAATCACAGCACTCCTCGCTGTTCAGACCGATGAGCTTTGTAAAAATGTACGCGTTTCAGAAAGGCAGGGCATACAGGAGAAACAATTATGTACAGTATGTGGAAAATAATGTTTTTTTTTTTACCTTAAACGGCATAAACACATTTCATTACTCCAAATACACAAAATAATGTTCTTTTTAGCAACATCATATGACCCCTTTAAATGAGAAAGTATCAAGTAGACATTACAAATTGTAGCTTTAGAAATATTTTATTTGATTCAACAAAAAAATGTATTGCACATAAACATTTAGGCTACAACGGCCTAACATAAACTATGGAACAAGATCATTTGAGAAACATCTCAGTATTGTTTGTTCATACAATGAAAGTCATTGTTAACCAAAACCGTCTTCAAAATACCTACCTTTATGTTCCACAAAAGAAAGGTTTGAAACGACATGAGAGTGAGTACATGATGACACAATTTTTTTTTTCAGAGTTTTTGCAAAATTGAGCAAAAACACATAATATTGTGTTTAAAATATAACACAATATCAACTTCTTACTGAACTGTTGTATAAAATCACATTTAAACTCGTGATATTCGGGTCAAAAACAGCACTCGTGTAATAGCCTACTGCTCTCCCTGCTCGTGTGATTATCGATATTGTATGATATAAATATAGACAAAAAACACATAAAGGGGCTTTTTTTGCACCAATATCTTGAATTTTAGGGCATAACTGCATTTATGGAGTTGTTGCCCTGCATCATATTTGTCAACTGTATGAAATGCATACTACAAAAGTCCCTTAATTTCAGAATAAATAATAGGTTTTTACCCGCTGAGACATAGTTATGTCATCATATTCATGTTTGAAGTATAAATTTCTCTCTTATTTTATTAATTTACAGGTCTTTAAATTTTTAAAATTAGGCTACCTCATATATTCAGATGGTGAGACCCTGGTTAAAATAAATAAACAATACAAATACTTTGATTTGTAATTTTATTTGATTGATTTTCAACTTATTTTAATGCTTCTTTACCCATATTACCCTTATATTTTCAATATTTTTAGGCCCCCTTGGATGTTTGCTGTTGTTCCCTGGTGGAGAACCTCTGATTTAGAGCATTTACAAGGACACATTTATTGGGTACATATGGCAGCTCGCTCACAGCATTTGTTTTAAATGTCCTCCGGAGGGCTGTTGAAGATATTGGCTCATTTAAGATATAGCATCAGTGTTGACTGTTCATCTTCTTGCTCACCTGATTTGTTTACTCATTTTGTAAGAGCTGTTTGTCAGTTGCGAGCGATGTTACGAGAGCTGGCCTGCAGATGATATTGGCCGGACACGCCTTATTTTGTCTGGTAGAGAAATGTGGACTTGTTAATCCTCTTTAATCGGGAGGATTTGTTTCCTATCGGAAGAATTCACCAAAACAGCCTCTTGCGTCATTAGCTAGCGTCATGAAATGGCCAACCAATCTTTGAAGTCAATTTTGGCAAATCTGATAAGCTTTGAATTAATACTTAATTCTACAGGCCGTGATAAAAAAAACAAAACACTGTTTTATAACTGAAATGTATGTAAATGTTCTTATGTCATGATGCTCTGCTAAACCTTTGTTCTTGAAGTGTGTTAAGGTTAAACGATGCACCCGTAGCCATGTTGAGTGAGGGTTTGTTATTGTTTGTGAAAACACTGAAATGCTACAGAGCCAGTAACTTGAGGCTGTGCTGCCATCTACAGACCTCTAGATGTACTCACACATGAAAAATGGGATGTAGCTTTTACAAACTGTTACGTAAGAGCATGTACCTCTCTGTAGTTCATATTTTGTTCACTAGAGGGAGATGCTGTCAAATGTATTCGATTTGTTTTAATTATTATTATTATTATTATTTTATTTATTTATTTCTGAGATGGGAAATAATAATATAAGGGGATGTTGCTGTCATAGCAATACACACACATATTGGTTTATTTTGAATTCAGTTGTTACCTCTCTTGTGTAGTTAATATTTTGTTTACTAGAGGGAGATGCAGTCAAATGTATTTCATTTTAATTTCATTTTAGTTTATGTAAGGACGTATTGGTTTAATTTTTAATTGAAATTTGAATCCAGTTATAAAAATAAATTAAAACTATTTTTTAAATATATATTTATAAATATTTCTGTTTAGCTTTATTTTTATTTGACTTTTAGTTTTAGTAGATTTAATTCAATTAAACTTATTTTAGTTAATAGCCAAGGGAACATTTCTAAATCTCTTATAAATTTAAGTTTTTTTTGTTTACTTTCTATTTTATTTTATTTTATTAGCCTATCTTTTTTTGTTTTTCAGTTTTTTCCCCTCATTGTAACTTGATGAAGTTATACAGTTACACTTTATCTATACAAAAAAAAAAAAAAAAACTGAAATAACCGAAAGCAGTTTTGAATAGTTTCCGTTTCAGTTTGGTGTGTGTACAGTAGTTTTTTTTTTTTTTTTTTTTGTAAGCATGCTTTCCTGGCCTGTTCGCTCAAATCAACTAGTAAATGCTGGTCTTGGTTTTTAGGGAGCCTAGGAAAATAGTCCTGCATCGGGGCACCACAGGACTAGGCTTCAACATTGTAGGAGGAGAGGATGGAGAGGGAATCTTCATCTCATTCATATTAGCAGGAGGACCTGCAGACCTGTGTGGAGAATTAAGGAAAGGAGACCGTATCATCTCTGTAAGAACATTGCATTATTGTTGAACAGATGTTGTTCTTTTTTCAGTTAAAAAAAGTTGTTCAGTCATCAACAATTGTTCATTGTAAATCATTTTTCAATGTTACTGAAACAATGCTTTGGCATTATCAACATAACCATTTCATTGAGAAACATTGATTTGAAATTTCAGTACATTTCTGAATGTCTTTGTATATTTCTCCTTTTTAATTACAGCAGCACTCAATCAGCAAAGTTTAATGTTTTTTTTCCAGGTTTATAGTAGATTGTACATTCTGAATTTTCCATGCATTCTCAGACTGTTGGACCCCACTGACTGCATTTTGCATCAGTGCTTATTTGTGATACACGTCATTAATATTGTATGTATGCTGCAGGTAAATGGGGTGGACCTCCGCAGTGCAACGCACGAACAGGCAGCTGCAGCACTTAAGAATGCTGGACAGACTGTCACCATCGTGGCTCAGTACAGACCTGAAGGTGGGTGGGCAGTTCCTCTCATAATATTTCAGACATTAGTTTCAAACTGACCAGTATGTTTCAGTGTTAACAATAAATAACATGCTTATGCTTATCACGTGACTTGATTCCATTCAGAACTGGATTAATGGGCCTTTCCTTTGTAACATGACAGCTTCAATCTTTGCATTTACTTCAATTAATTTTATAAGGGTATGTCATGTTTCATTCTGCTACCACTAAATATACACTTGAACCTAAACCTCATACACTTACTTTTATACTAAGTCTTTTCCGCGCTCTGCTTCAGATTTGTTTCCCCACATTCCCCTTCTTGGTTTTCCTATTTGCATACAGCTTTTTTATTAGATAGAATTTCTCTTTTAAGACACAAACTCTAAATTGCTGAGCTTTTAGCTGAAGAACTTGATTAGATGCAGCATGGATGGTGGACTGTGATAATGGGAAGAGAGTCAGTGGCAGTGACACTGTGGATTTGATAGAAAACCTGTCATTTGTGTTTAATAGCCAATAAGGTGTGATCTTGATAACCTGTCGAAATCTGCTCCCATTAAGTAATCTTATGTCTTATTTGTGAATATTGGTGTCCACTGAATTCTCAAATTAATTGTAGTACTTTAAACCCAGCTTTACTGTGTATTTAAAGTCAACAATAAATGCCATTCACAACCCGTTTTTCTTCCATGATCTGGTATTGAAACAGTATATTGAACAAGACAAAAATGTTGGGCGGGACTTGATTTTATCCATCATAAATATATTGTATTGTGAAAAATTTGTTTAGTTTAGTGTTACTATTTTAATGATGTGCACCAAGTACACTTCTGTTCAAAAGTTTGGGGTTGGTAAGATTTTATTGATTTCACAAAAACACAGTTTAAACGGTAATATTGTAAAATATTCTTACATTTTACAACTTTTTATTTTAATATATATTTTGCAGTTTTACTTTTTCTGTAATGCCAAATCTGAATTTTTTAGCAGCCACTTCTCTAATCTCCAGTGTCACATAATCCTTCAGAAATCATTCTAATATGCTGATTTGGTGTTCAAAAAACATTTCTTATTATTATGACAGTTGTGATTGAACAGTTGTTGCTTAAACATTTTTCTGGAAACTTTAATACTGGAATAATTGAAATAGGAAATGTATTAAAGGGGTCGGTCATATGATGCGATTTCAAGTTTTCCTTTCTCTTTGGAGTGTTACAAGCTGATTGTGCATAGATAAGATCCCTGAAGTTGCAAAGACTAAAGTCTCAAAACCAAAGAGATATTCTTTATCAAAGTTAAGACTCTGCCACGCCCCCCTAAAACGGCTCGTTCTAACACGCCCCCACATATCTACCTCACTATGTGGAAATATTAGCATAATGCGCCCAAATGTGCACGCAAAGAAAGAAGGCGTGGTTTCAGTTTGAAATAAAAATATATTTTTTTACTATTATAAATATCTTTAGTGTCTCTTTTGATAAATTTAATGCATCCTTGCTGAATAAAAGTATTAATTTCTTAAAAATAAATAAATAAATAAATCTTACTGACCCCAAAGTTTTGAAATTAAGTTGGTAATGATTTCATGTATGGGTGTAACGGTACATGTATTTGTCACGATCTGTCACGGTACGGATGTCACGGTTTGGTTCATACAGTCAGATGAACAGAACAGGAACCGTCACAACTAGAAAGAGCAGAAGAATGAGACGATCTATGCACCAACCCAAAACAAGAACAGCGAGTTTTACATGGCACGCAAGAGCTTGAAGAACCGTCTGATTCTAGAGATGCACTGGTCAACTGGCAATAAATCGTAACCTGTTTTTAATTGTATTTTGGCTGACCTCTATTCCATAATTGCACACTAACTGCATTACAATAATTTCCCAAAATGTAATTTGTGTGGAATTTCTAAAAAGTCTGTAAAGAGGAGAAAACACTGTACCAAGCAGATCAAGCTCACTGCTCGTGATGCTCGATATATAGGAAGACAAATATGTGGGGGTTTATATGAATGTTTTGATGGCATTTTCTTTTCCTCTTACCTCCATATAATGCATATTAAAGTAGTGTTTATAAGTGCAGCTGATTTGTTTACAGCGGTAACCTAGGAAACTATATCGTTGCTGTTCTATAAGATCCACCTGCATTTTCGTTCAGTCCATCTGCTGTTTTTGTTTTGTGCAGGTGTCTTATGTAGCATAATTTCACAAATCGAAAATCAGACCATTCTGTTTTTGCTTGAAATGATGCTAATTCAAAAACAAATGTTCATGCTACAGTACATGTGTGTGTGTAGCACTACTGTCTGTTCAAAATAAATGAAAAAATGAATTTCCTTTTGTACCAAATAGGCCTGGGCGATTAAAATGGTATCGATATTTATCGACGGTACACCTTCGATAACGATGTAAAAAATGTTTGATATAGTGCACGATGCACTGAGTGACGCAGACATGAGTGCTGTGCCTGTCTGTGATGAGGAGATTGTGAATAAAAAAATGAATATTAGTTGAATTTAAAATAAACATTTGCGTTTGAATGCAAAAATAGTACAATCGAATGTTAGGAGTGCGTCGGAGCGTCATCAGTGGAGCACGAGATGCGGTGATGATGATGTAAGTGAAGCTGTATTTTAATATTTTGTTAGTCTAGCCCACGAGAAGCACAGTTGCTGCGTTATTCATTCAAAATATTAGAGAAATATAGTTGCTCAATGCGTAGACGATCTTGATTAGGTTAAAACCGAAACCAAGCCATTCACACCGAACGCATATTCAGCGCATTTTCTAGACGGACAAATATGACTACTGCACTCGCGTCACACAAGAGATGTATAGAAAGCCATGCTAAGTTAAAACAGTTTAAACTTTTAGAAAATACGTCACGAATATGTGGAGGTTTATTCCTTTTCACTGCGTCTCGTATGTTTTTAAAGGCAATCTGTGTGATAGGCGATTCGGTTCTTTGTATTAAGCAATGCATAAATACGTGATGCTGTTTTGTTCATAATTGTTTATGCAATTTACGAAATTATATTTGATTTCTATGAGTTAATTTAGACGTAATGCACTTTTTTTTTATAGACAGTTATTTCCTTGCGTTGTGCTGCATTATTTTGCTCATTGCGCCCTCCTGTGGCCTTGGGAAACAAGCCAAAAGTTTAACCTATTTAATCTGCATATGAAACATTAGAAATTAGATATTTGTTTTTTTATTTTGTGTTTGACTGTTAAAACAAAAAAAAGTAGTTTTTCTCAACAAATTGAGTTCATTTAAAAAATACAGTGGTTAAATGTAAAAAAAAATTCTATTGCTCTGTTTTAAAAAAGGTTATTAAAAATGTCAATAATTATCGATACCGAACGATATGAAACATTATATTGTTGATACATTTTTTTAGCTATATCGCCCAGTCCTAGTACTAAACTCGTATCGAACCGTGACCCCATAATTGAGGTATGTACCAAACTATGACATCTCTGTACCATTACACCCCTAATTTCATGTACATGTAAGAGATAATGTGCACAGTTCGCTGTATGGTGTTGTGGTCGTGACTTCTATCAGCTTCTTCACCCTGAGGAGTAGAGAGTCCAGCCTGGCCATCGGCTCAGCAGGCCTGGCTGCAGTGTTTATTAAAATACCAATGGGGTAGTGATGACCCTCAGAGCTTTGGCTGGAGATGGTCTGAGAGGGTCTAAATTAAGCTTCTGAACAGGTCTGTGTGTGTATGTGTGATCCAAGCTCCTTTCACACCCCTAGCGAGCGTGTGTGTGTTCATGTAGCATCTTCTCTGTTTGGTGAAAGCTGTTGTCTTAGCGTGGCTCCTGAGCCTGGCTTCCTGTACCCATCACGCTCCTCTGTTCATGGCCAGCACAGAGCAGCTCTGCCCTTCAACTTGGCTTTCACTTGGAGAACATTCCACAATCCGTTCTCCATCACAGAGAAACAGAAGAGAGCACTTAGCATCTGAGCTCTTCAGTACCTGACCTTCTCTTTACTTGTTGTTTTCATAAGCAACTACAGTACACTAGAAACAACATATGCTTGCTGGCTACTAATCAATATTTGTCTAAACATTTATTTTGTGTCCTTTCAGCTTCTTTGATATATATATATTATATACTGTATATATATATATTCATTAGGTTTTACCATTATAACCCTTTAACACATGACAATATTTTCCTATTTTCTTTCAATTATATTTTGTACTTCATCTAACATACTTTACGATTGAAATAATATATACAGTGGGGCAAAAAAGTATTTAGTCAGCCACCAATTGTGCAAGTTCTCCCACTTAAAAAGATGAGAGAGGCCTGTAATTTTCATCATAGGTATACCTAAACTATGAGAGACAAAATGAGGGAAAAAATCCAGAAAATCACATTGTAGGATTTTTAAAGAATTAATTTACTGCTCAAAAGTTTGGGATCAGAAAGACTTGTAATGTTTTTTAAAGAAGTATCTTATGCTCATCAAGGCTGCATTTATTTGATCCAAAATACAGGGGGGGAAAACATAATCTTGCAAAATGTTATTGCAATATAAAATAATGTTTTCTATTTTAATATACTTTAAAATATAATTTATTTCTGTGATGCAAAGCTGAATTTCCATCAGCCGTTACTCCAGTATAAAGTGTCACATGATCCTTCAGAAATCATTCTAATATGCTGATTTATTATTAGAATTATCAATGTTGGTAACAGTTTTTGGAAACTGCGATACTGTTTTCAGGATTCTTTGAAGAATAAAAAGTTAAAAAGAACCGCATTTATTCAAAATCTAAATCTTTTCTACCAATGTAAATCTTTGCTATCACTTCTTATCAATTTAACACATCCTTGCTGAATAAAAGTTTTAATTTCTTTCAAAAAAAGAAAGAATAAAAATGTACTGACCCCAAACTTTTGAACGGTAGTGTATATTGTTAGAAAAGATTTCTATTTAAATAAATGCTCTTCTTTTTATCTTTTTATTCATCGAAGAATCCT